CTCAGTCGGGCGATCTAGGTCGTCATAAACGTATTCATACCGGAGAGAGACAGCACAAGTGTAAGACATGTGGCACATCGTTCACACAGTCGTCCAATTTACGCAGACATGAACGCATCCATTCTGGATAAAGACCTTTTACGCGCATAACATGCGTGAGGCCATCCACACAGTCATCCCAACTACGTGACCATGAACGTATACATACAGGAGAACGTCCATATAGGTGCATAGAGTGCCTAAAGTTCTTCAGAACATCATCATGTTACCGTAGACACAAGTGTTATCATAACATAAAATGAACAGCCTAAACGTCGTTGGAAAGTGTTTTACTTTGTCTGAAAATGCCTTTCTTCTCATCGTGCTCATGAATTGTACGAACAAGAGAGAGAGAGAGAGAGTGTGTGTGTGTGAGCGAGTGTGTGTGTGTCTGTTAAAACGATAGTATACATTCGCAGCACTTTAAAAAATATTCCCCTCGTTGATGCTATTCACACGAGTATCGTAGCCACACACTTGATGGACTATGATAGTCTCGAACCGCAATCTGATGTGGATTAGATTATTCTGTATTTATGTTTTATTCCATGGTCTAATTCTCATGTATTATTATCTGAAGTTTATAGTTTTATTATGGGATAACCTTTCATCTGAAAAGGTTTCACTTCATCTAGATCGAAGAGATGAGCGACGGCTGTGTTGACTGAGCACGTGCATATTGTGAGCGAAATCGGAGAGATCCACTTGCACATATTGTCTACAAGTTGTAAGCTTCCCTCATCAGTTGAGCTTGAGTAGGCAGAGGAAGATTGTGGCTGAAGAGCTCTTCCCCTACTATCGCCGAAGTCGCACCAACTTCTTCTTCACATTGTTGTCCCCAGCGCGGGCTTGCGAATTAGATGGTTTGGAGGCAACAACGTTGTGAATGGCCAACGGTCCTCAGCGCTTGTCCAGCACCCCCATGAGCGACCCTCAATCACGCTGCTATCTGGTGTTCACGAGGTGTTTGTCGCACTGGAAACGGAGCGTCTCTGTACGTTTGTATCCCTGGTGATGTTTGTGCCTGGAGAGCAGTATATAGGTGGTGCTCTTCAGGCAAAATCTTCCTCAGCCTACTCAAGCTCAACTGATGAGTTTTGAATTCCCCGAAACACTGTGTATTGAGCAGGGAGTGGTGCTTTCTTGCAGGTTTGCCGAGTGGACGGTTCGATGGACTTCTCGTGTGCTCTGGATGGCAGTCGTGAGTCAGTCAAGTGAGAATTCAATTCGGCAGGAAACCCGCGAGCTCCCATATAGGGAGCAACACACTCTTCCCCTACTATCGCCGAAGTCGCACCAACCTCTTCTTCATATTATATATTGCTATTATTATTTTGAAGAACTCAGATGGTGAGCGAAGGAAACTGTTTCTTAACATGGGAAATCGTGGGCACAAGCTATGCGATCGAGTCCACCAACTAAACCAGATTTTGAACAGTCAGACGTGCACAATCTAGCACAAAACTGACAGGGAGTACTGAGACATTCCACGGCATGAACGTCAGCTTCAGCACTGCTCGATAGCGCCAACCAACGGCCTTCCAACTTGGAAGGTGCATGGATAGTTGTGCTAATTCCAAAGAGGGGAAGGCAGTCTTGCCGTCCCGTCATCATCCCAGATATGAACATGCAGTTATTGTATTTTGGGTATCAATTGGTTGGCACTTCTGTACCCGTGATAAACTGGCTCTTTGTATTATAATCACTATTATTATCCATCCTTTCGTATCATGGTAACAGCATTGACAAAGAACTTCGGTGACCTGCCCAGTGTATTGTATTTCTTCAAGTCACGGGTGAGGTTCGATGACTTTTCAGAAAATCTTGTAACTTTTCCATCCTTGCTTGAAGCTGTTCTTTTTTTGTAGATATCTGCACGAGCACAGACCATTTCGGCTCTGCTCTCCAAGTTCTCATCTACTACGGAGGCAAATCTTTCGGCATAGTCTCCACATTTAGAAGACAGGTAGGCGGACAACCATGAAAAAAAGGTCGGTGCAAGCCCAAAAAGGTAAGTTTTTCTTTCAGCTGATCGCAACTGTGCCAAGAATGGGACGGTGGCGACTGGCTGCGCATGCTCACCGCCGCTAAACGGGCCGTGAGCATGCGCAGCCAGTAGCCATCGTACGAACCTGGCACATCTGCGATTGGCTGGAAGAGGTCCTCATGCCAGTCATGGCCATGCGGACCAGCTTTGAAGGTTTATAGTCAATCGATTTGACCTAGGCCTTCATCGCTCAATCAAGGATACCACGTGAAAGTCGCTCGTGGGCTACGGCCATGGAAAGGGTACGGTAAAAACCTGAACAATTTCATTGTGTAACAAATTGAGTAAATTATGGATTCCTCGGGTCTGTCAGGCCAACCTGAAGTTTCCTTTTGGCCGTCTGGAGCTAGCTATCCGACCGAGGCTTTAGCTGACTAAATATTGGCGTCATGGAATGTCGGCAAGGCCTGTTGAAGCGCGCCCGATTCGTAGGGATTGGATGAAATTAGTATATTATGTGAATGTTGACGTCCCCCAAGTCAATCATAATGTGTATGCCTCTAAAATCGATAAAGAAATGTTACAAAGTGGTAAGCCTCGGAGATCCGAACTCATGGTGGTGATACGTGCTGGGGAAATGCCTTTAGTAATTCTGTGTTGCCATCTTCAATAAGTCCGTCAAATAGTAGTAATACTAATAGGCTTTTCATTTGACCCGACGAGACCACAGGACGCTTGCAGACGACAGCACGACACACACACAGTTCACCAGCCATACTCCACGAAAGCAAGTAGTGTTACTCCTGACAAGGCTTGTTTCGTTCCATAAAGATACCGGGAACTCATCAGAGGAGCAGCAATCGTTGAATGAAAGTAATAATGATATTTTTGAGAGAAGATAGGTGAAAAGTACTTTCAAGTAGACGCAATGTTACTAGTACGCAAAGTGAAAGCCAACAAATCATCACGGACATCTAACGTCACATCTGAAGGTTGCTAACTACACAATACAAATACTTCACGAACCCTGAGAATTGAAAATCAGCCCACGGTAGGTGAAAGGAAGGCTGCTGGAGTGTGACATAGTCGAGAACTGTGGGCTGCTGAAGCGACGTATCCATCCAGATCTTCACTGCAGGGTTGGCGTCTAACGCTATATTCCGAGCGGCAGATCACAGCCTTCTTCTGAACAATGGCAGGTTTCCGGGTCCAGGAGAAGTCATAATTCTTTCACTTACCGTCGGCTGAATTTTCAATTCTCGAGGTTCGTGAAGACGTCGGTGATGATTTGCTGGCTTTCACTTGGCGCCTACCTTTCATCTATCTTTGTCACCACCCCAGTGCTCTTTGTGACGTGTAAACGTGCGCAACATATTCGTGTGTACTTCTCCGTCTCATCATTGCGATTGGCTTAGCACGTGTGATAGTTATGTCTGGTAGGCAGGGTTCATAACATGCAACTTTGTTATCTTTCTTGTTCTTATTTTTTTGTCTCAAGCCGGATTTTTGTTCTTTGTAGAAAAAAAGAAGAAAAAAACACCTCCATTCCACACTATTCATTTTGTGTTGATTTGATTGATGTTCCCAGTATCTTTATGGAACGAAGCAAGACTAGTGTCAGGGGTAACACTACTTGCTTTCGTGGAGTGTGCCAGTCGGTGTGGCCGGTGAACTGTTCGTGCTGTCGTCTGCAAGCATCTTGTGGTCTCGTCGGGTCAAATGAAAAACCTATTATCACTATTGGACAGACTTATTGAAGATGGCAACACAGAATTATGACTTCTCCTGGACCAGGAAACCTGCCATTGGCCAGAAGAAGGATGCGATCTGAATGAAGCGGAATCAAGCAGAATCAAGTTCACAATACCGGTTTTTCATGAAGACCAAAAAAGTAGCCCTGAAAGTTGTACCATTCTAAAAATAGCCCCAGAAAGTGATACAACAGTTCGTCTGTCACGCCCCTGAACTGCCCTATATACCATAATAACACATGACATCAGATCTTACCGTATCTTGCTACAGTGTTCCATGTGTGAATGGGGAGTAGTGGGAACTGCGTCTGCGCTTTGATCATTGAAAGGTGGTGGTGTTCCTACGGATGCGGAAAAACTCGGCCTCTTACCGAGTCGACGCGAACCGTGAATTATTTTTTTAAATTATGTACCGTCCGCCAGTGTCGTGCAATGTTATCACATGTGCTGATTGTTTAGTAACTGGTGGTGCAAGTGGACATTTTTAGCGTAACTTGTAGTTCCGCCAGGAGACCCGACGCCAGATCTTATTTCAGCGCAATCCGACAGCTGCGTGATCTGCGTGGGGGCAAGAAGTCGCATCGTATTCAGCTGGCCAATGAGGATGGAGAGATCGTAACTGGTCTACAGTGGAACTTGGACAAGTTCCGGGATTATTTCTCATCAGTATTCTACAACTCTGACCTGCCCACGGACCTAGTAACCGAACAAGTGGTGTCTGAACCCCCTTCACAATTGAGGAGGTCAAGGCAGCTATTCTCAGTCAACGAACAAAGGGAGCCGCTGGGTGTGATGGGATAAGTGCAGCGATGCTGAAATCCGCCATGGACATCATCGGAACATGGTTAGCAAACCTCTTCAATGCTGTGCGGATCCTATGCCATTGCCCAAACGATTTGAGACGCGGAGTGTTGGTGCCATTTTACAAGCCCTGCTAGCAGATGGGAATACCAAAGAGCTACCGACCCATCACGCTATTATCTGTGGTGAGGAAAGTGCTGACATGTATTCTGAACCGTCGAACGCAGACAGCAGCAGACAGTTACGTAAGGGAGTCTCAAGCAGGATTCAGACCAGGCCGCTCAACAGCAGACGGTGTGTTCTATTCAAGAATGCTGTGTGAACGCGCAATGCTTCGTGATTGGTCATACATGTACTCAGCAGCGCTGCTGGACTTTAGTGGTGCATTCGACACCCTGGTTAGGAGTACAGCGCTGGACAGGATGACGGTGGCGGGGGCGCAGACGTCGACTGTGTCAGCATTGATCCCAAACACAACAGCCAGAGTAAAAAATTCCAGCCAGCTTGGAGAGGCCTTCCCCACGAACATTGGAGTCGTGCAAGGTGACCCGCTATCGCCCACTATGTTCAATATGTATGCCGAAGGAGCCATGCGGAAGATCGATGCAGTTAGTAGCCTTGCAAGAACTCAAGATGTACCCTCACCTTCAACACAATACGTAGATGATACAACCATGCACGCATCATCGAGGAGTGCTGTGGAGACCATGGTAGCCACATGTGAGCCGATCTTCAAAGAAGACAACCTCAACCTTAACTTACAAAAAACCGTATATTTAACTGCTTCCCGCACTGATGCATCGTGGAAAACGGTCAAGCTCCTTGGTTCCTTGCTGGACTCCACGGAGGATGTGGCAGCCAGGATCGGTGCAGCGAACCGAGCATTCGGCTCGATAGCATGGAAGCGGCATTGCCTGGACTCACGGCTTTGCATGTTCTCGGTTCTCATTGTTCCAGTGCTGCTGTATAACTGCGGCCTGTGGACCCTCACGAAGCGACAGAATGAACAGCTAGATGTATGGCAGAGAAGAAAGCTCCGTTATATCTTCGGAGTCCACTACCCACACTGCATATCCAACCAAATCCTGTATGAAAAATCAAAACAGCAACCAATCAGCAGGGTCTGCAAGAGAAGACGTCTCCTATGGTTCGGCCATGTTGTTCGGGAAGGTCCGGGCACGGCTTCCTATGGCGCGCTAACCATGGCCATCGACACGTCCAAGATCAAGCGTCCACAAGGATGACCGAGGCTTCGGTGGATTGATGTGGTGAAATCCGACATCACCCCTCTCGGACACACGCTCGAGGATTGCCTCAACACTGCACAGGACAAAAAGCTATGGCTGGACTTCATTGACAAATGTACATCGGTGTAAAAAAATGGCATGTAATGGCATGTACTTGTCATGTATGTAACCTGTATATGGGTTTTTTCGTATGCTATTCTTCCTGCTGCAATCTATTTCACGATGAGACAGTTAACAGATGCGTGGAACCCATTATTTGGGAGACATGCGACCTATTATTGTAGTTCCGCGGTCCGTTTATATTTCTATAAACATATCCTTGGCTCTACATCTGAGTCCATTCTTGCAAACCTGATGAGCAGTCCTTGTCTACGGCTAAACGATCATCTTGTGAAACTGCTGCTTGTTACTGCTGCTTATTGTTCATCTAAATTGTCATACATTGTAGTCGAAGTACAGTGCTGTTTCACTGAGGCGTTCGGTGTTGCACGATCGTTGTACGCATAGCTTCCCCTTTAATTGATCTTCGCATTTTTGAGCCACACAAGCTGTGTGGAAAGTTGCTTTGCGTCCTGGAATTATGGTTTGACCGTATTGTTAACTGGTCTTGCCAGTATCGTCATCGACATACATGTACATCCGCCAACGTCCTTCACAGCTGAGACTTTCAGCTCGTGCTTGTCTTGGTTGCGCTCACCTTCCCCTCCTATGTTATCATAACTTTGAACAAGTTGGAAGGCTGTTGGAGTGCGCATCCAAGATGTGCTAGAACTATTAGCCAGTTATTTGTACGTCGAAGTGGTAGAACGTCAGAACTGTCGGTCAGTGTCGCCCAAAGTCATCGCATGAGCAGATTGTTTAGTAACTGGTGGTGTTAGTGGACATGCGATAGGGAGTGAGTTGAAGAGGGTGAGGGCACTGTTGATGGGGAATCTCCATGCCTTTGTGTGTTTGTAGGTCCTTGTCTGTCAAAGGGTGTATGGTTGGTGTTGACGTGGTGGTGCAAGATGTGGTTGTTGCAGGTGCGGTGGGGAGGTTTGGTGGTGGATGTCCCATGCTAGTAGGACTTGTTTAACAAGGAGTCATGAGCTAAGGGGGGGGGGAAGCTTTGTGTGATGGAGGAGAGAACTGTGGTGAACTGGTGCAAAGAGTGGAAACCAAAGGCAGATGCATATAGCACGGCGTTGAATTCTCTCCAGGGTGTCCCGCTGTTGCTGTGTGGTGTTGGAGAGGACAAAAATCCAACATGGTAGCCGAGACTCTCAATGCAGTCAAACTCAAACTCTCCAGGGTAGTGTTGGACGAAGCGCCAAGAGATCTCGCAGGATAAATTCCTTTGAAGCACCCTCATCAAATTTTAGCTTTTACAGAAACTACGCGCAGTAGATCTCCCGCTGTCTTTCTCTGCAATTTCATTTTTTTGGCCTCGGCAGAGGAAGATGAGTGCTGCGGGGTGCCATTCCACCGTGACGTACCCCCTGCCAACTGCCGCAGCTTATTAAGGCCTCTAAGCGTGCCCAGGCGAATGCCGAGTCGGGTTAGGCAGTCCTGAGAAAGAGCTGAGAGGAGAGTTGTCCTGGGTCGGCCCAGTCGACCGCGCAGGCTCGGGGTGGCTGAAAACTCTAACACGCGCTGTGGGGGTGAGCCCTTCTGCATTCTCAGTACGTGACCGAGGAACTCCCAACGCCGTTGGCCAATCTCGAGCGAAATCGGTGCTGAGCCGCAGATGTCGTACATATGCTTGTTGGTAATTGTGTTTGGGAACTTAACGCCATCCATTGTTCTCAGATGCCTTCGATGAAAGGTGTCAATCCCTCTTATCCTATGAAGGGTGAACATCACGAACAGTCTACCGTCTTTCTGACATTGCCACTTGAACTTGACAATAGAAGCAGCTTTTCGTATGTGCAGTTGCATTGAGCCATGGTGTTTTTGTTTTTTTGTGAATCCTTCCTGGAAGGAAATGCTGGTTTTTATACATTCCTGTAATTACTCAGCGCTATTTGCAATAATAATAATAATAATAATTTTAATATGGCAATAAGTAGGACGAGCTGAAGCGACATGTGGACTACTTTATTAACAATGTAAGCGATGGAGACGATGCAAGAAACAACCTAAAGGGTAAGGAAAAAACACATGTAAGAAGAAAAAGGCAATGGAAAAAAAAAAGGTGATTCGAACAAGTTTTCGTACAACACTCTTTGGGAATCACCGTTGTACTAAAGAACAAAATGAGAACAAAGGAAATAATATAGCAATCAAGGTAGGGTGACACGATACAATGACAGTACTGGAATATCGAGGTGCGATTTCTCACAAAAGTGTGCAGAAAACAAGGGTATACAAGTAAGAACTAAGCGTGACAAGTGTGTATCAGCAACAAAAACAAAAAAGTGAGAACGAATGATAATAATAAGAAGAAGGTGACAAAACACATTTAGGCACAAGTGGCAACAACGTTGCCACACTACACAAAAGAACATTATTTGAACAATTTGAGGGTAATAACACTATCTTTCTGGACACACAAATTCGGCTTATGAATGCGCTGACAAACAGCTTCCAAAACTTGTAACTGCAAAAGATAACCATGGCGAGCACGGCACAAAACAGAAAAACAGGAATCAGAATAAGTACGGCAACAGTCAGTACTAGAAACCAAATGATTGTATACTGAAGACTTGTTATTACGAGACGGACGCACACAATCTCGACTCACGCCTTTTTCTTCTTACATGTATTTTTTCCTTACCCTTTAGGTTGTTTCTTGCATCGTCTCCATCGCTTACATTGTTAATAAAGTAGTCCACATGTCGCTTCAGCTCGTCCTACTTATTGCCATATTAAAATTATTTTCTCCTCGTCGAATTTTTAAATAATAATAATAATAATTGTGGAAAGGAAAAGGACATATGGATACGAGTTAAGAGTAACTCTCCATCACTGTAACTGGATACTATATACAGTCAGAAAGTGCAATAACTAGGCACAAAACTGACAAGAGTACTGAGACATTCGACGTCCTGACACCTAGCTTCAACAAATCTCCTTAGCGCCAACCGACAGCCTTCCAACTTGGAAGGTTCAGGGTTATGGAAATACCAAAGAGCCACAACCAAATTGCACACCTGATGAGCCGTCACGAACCATACGGCGAAACGTACGTCGTGTGAAACAACTTGTTTTGTAGTCAACTAGTCCATCACAATGTCATGCATGAGGAGTACTGTAGGAGTTTAGACTTCGGCTTGTACAATTCGTTCTCGCAAAGCTTCCCCCTTCTTAACTTATCTTTGATATTTTTGACCCACCCAAGTTGGGTGGTGTGCTGCTTTGCTGCTTCGAATTGTAGTTAGACCGCTTTGTCAAATCGCCTACTGGTCTCGTCATCGTCCAGTGACAATCGACATTCTTTGTTCCGTTGAGACTGTAGCTTGTGCTCGTTTTCGTTGCGCTTGCCTTCCCCTCTTTGGTCTTTCCATAACCTTGAACCTTCCAAGTTGGAAGGCTGTCGGTTAGCGCTACGAAGATGTGTGGAAGCTAGGTTTCAGGACGTCGAATGTCTCAGTACTCTGTCAGTTTTGTGCCTAGTTGTTGCACTTTCTGACTGTATATAGTATCTAGTTACAGTGGTGGAGAGTTACTCTTAACTCGTTTCCATAATTATGTCCTTTTCCTTTCTAATAATAATAATAATAATAATAATAACGAAGGTACGTGTTGGGTCGTAAGTATCCACGCAAACACACATCCAGTCAAAATAAGGCACTTGTCAAATTATCCGAACGTTTTCGGTCCCTTCTCATCAAGGATTTTTCAGGGAATGGCTCAAGTTGGAAAGACTAAAACTTATATAGCGTAAAGATATGAGATAACAACACTCGTGACAAGGTGGAAAATTATCAAGTTCAGCACGACACAAAACTCGAAGGAAATAATAATAGTGACAAGAACGTAGTGAGCAAATTAATTAAGTTACATTGTTAACACCTCGACGAGGAGTAACACCAAACAATTGTAGCGACAACACATTTTCTTTCTGTACGCAAAGTTCAGGATCTAACTTGCGGATATACAAAGCTTCTAACACAGACAGCCAGATGCAACGCACATCTACCACGTGACAATATTGAGAAAACAGTATCACTGTACAACTCACGACAATTGGTACGGGCTGACAGATGTTGCTTGATTGACGAAGTGCGAGTGTTGTTATCTCATATCTTTACGCTATATAAGTTTCAGTCTTTCCAACTTGAGCCATTCCCTGTAAAATCCTTGATGAGAAGGGACCGAAAACGTTCGGATAATTTGACAAGTGCCTTATTTTGACTGGATGTGTGTTTGCGTGGATACTTACGACCCAACACGTACCTTCATTATTAAAGTACTATCCGCCTCCGACCTCTTGTAAAAAAAAATAATAATAATAAATCGGCTGCCCCGATGAAGAGTTTCGTGCTGAAAAATAATATTCTTGCCGAAACATCAAGACATTCCATTCATACAAGCCCTCAAGAAGCCTTAAGCCTTACCAACTCGAAAAGACCCCAAAGCGAGGCAAAGGCCAAAAAGGTGTCCACGACCGGATACGGGACTATTATGCGCTCTGATCGGGTTCCTTGCTGTACGGTGCGTGAGAACGGGGACTAGAGCGAAACTCTTCTCGGTTGCTTTCTGATATGGAAGCCAACAGGAGTGGAAACGGCATGCCGCGATTTAGTGCTAGTGCCATATTACGCACTAACATGTCAGTATCTCAACCGAACCCACTGTGCATGCTGTGAACGGAGTGCCAAAACATCCGGTTTCGGCGATGCGTATGTCACCTGTGCCGGCCCAGTCTAGAATATTGCATCGGCCAGTGAGCAAATCGCGGGCTCAATAGCAGACTAGGCGCCAGCTCTCATTTCGATTGCCTCATCTTCAGCACGAGAGTTCTGTTTCACGAACTCAGATTCGTTGCAAGAGTGGGTTGAGAGTCCGGCGGCAAC